GCGAACGAGTTATTGTGTGACAACCATAGCAACCACGCGGAACCACATGTTTTTCTTTTAACTTTAAAGAAAGATTTATTCATGATCGAGAACGTTTGATTTACGATAATAACGATAAAATTCCATTTATTATAAAGATCAGATGAACATGTGAAAGTAATGTATATCATGCAATTACTCTGCTCTTGTAGGTCCGTTTAATCTCGACATCGATTTCAATAATTGGGCCGCTGTTCTTTCACCATTTTCATATTTCTCCCATAATCCAAACACCTTACTCTGTAATTGCCTAATAAAAAGAAATGCTTTTTACTAAAGATCTTTCTAGAAAGCCAAGTTTTCGTTAAAAAATCTGAGCGATTGACATGATGAGTCTTTACGGTGTTGTTGTCGCACAATAACTCGTTCGTTATAGTCATTGGTGATGTTCACCAATGTTCACCGATGTTTAAGCTTCTGTTTGATGTTCACCAATGTTCGCCAGTGTTTTTTTTACTAAATATCGTTTACTTCTCTGTATGTTTAACTTCTAATAAGTTGTATTGGATTGACGACCAACTCGCCGACGTCTCTACTCGATTTTATACGTCGGCGAGTTGGTGTCGGCGAGTTGGTCCGTCGGCGAGTTGACTGGTTACCCTGGATAGACTAATGACATGAGTAAAACTTCATTGGTCGGTTTCCTAATCAAAACAAGAAGGTTAACTAGTGGAGAGTCTCACCACATCTACTTACCATTGTCTTCTCAGAAGATCAATAGGGAAGCCAATGCCTTGGTTTAGCTTCTCAGTTGGTCTTGAAATAAGAGGATAGTGGTCCACTCAAGAATACAGAATACTATTTGGCTTTTCTATCAATACCCCTGAAGGGGACCCTAATGAGATTCACATGGCTGAACTGTTATCAATCTACATATAAAGACTCTCTTTTTCACTCTCTCTTCAGTACCTAAGTTTTTGGAGGGGTTTCTTCAAGTTGTGCCCCTATCTTCCTCTAGTCAGAATACCAAAAGTGTAAAATGTAACTTTCTTGATTCCTCAATAATTCATGTAACATAATCCTTGCTGGTGGAAAGAAGATGTAAAATTGCTATTTTGACCTCATTTTCAGCTTCCAAGGAGCTACTTTAAAACTGATTACTATATTGCCTCCAAAATTTACTAATGCCAAAAATTCCTGTATAAATCTTGTATTTGGAATGCCTTGTTTTATGGCTATTTTCAAGCAATTATGTTACTCTTTGGAATCTCCAAATGCAATTAAAAGTCACTTCTGTATGATATAGCCACTTGTCAATCGAGAAAACTATATGGTTTCTGGAGTATACTTCTCCTTTAAATATCTACTTGTTACCTTACCTTTTTTTTCCTCATTTATTACATAAACTTTCAGTGAAGGTTTATGAGATGTAAATGAGAGAAAAAAAAAGTAAGGTAGCAAGTCAGCCACTGCCTTATCACACCATCTAGTAGTAACAATTGTCTTAAATTCTTGTGCTTATCGTGATTCTTTGAGATTCCCACTTCTAGAAAACACACAATTTTGTTTTGCTGACAAATATTGCTTCCTTAAGCTTTATACACTCTAACATTACAATACTTATTCTCCCTACTATTCCCCATACCTTTCCAAAAGTACTGACTGGAAGAATTTGTGTAACAATCAAGAGCTGAGCAGTTGTTGATCATTTGCTTTAATCTCTTGACCTTAATATTTGATTGATGGGTAATATGAGGAGAAATTACATGCTAGACACTCTTAAGGGTTAAAGGTTGATCAATTTTGCTAATAATTGGTGTGCTTAAATCTTCTAGCACATTTATCCCTTTACACTGTAAGTCCTGCAGTTCACCTATTGGTCGCATCTACCAGACCACTCCAAAAGAACTGGACCATTTACGGTAGGCCTCTATTACAGATTGAAGAGTTGTATTTTTACCTGTAATAAGGTACAATTTAAATTTTTTATTGTTTCTTGAATTAGGAACAAAACCAAATCTTAAAATGAAAATTAAGGGGCTGTTTCACCCTTTTTCCTTAATTTTTAAAAATTTGTATGATAGTGATGGCCCAATTGAGACTGTGACAGATGAAGGTAGACAGTTGCGAGTATTCTTCATTCAATTATCTTTGTGTATAAAGTAGCCAAGCTAAAGAATCCCACCAGTCTCCGTTTCTTTTAATTTTTTTTGACTATGTTTACTAGGATCTTTGGACAAGAAACCTCAGAACTTAAGGTGACTTCCAATTCTTAAGCAAAAACAAAAAATTATTAGAGGGTTTATAATATCATTTCTTTTTTTCATTTACCATGTCTGTGACCACCACTGAATCCCATGAATCTAAGAGCTGTCATATGGTGCCACATCCAATACTCAGTAGCTCAAGGAACATGGTATCATCTATGTGGATGGCATGGCTCTATTCAAAACGAAGCCATGATCGTGTTTGGCTTTAAATTGGCTCCATGAAGGTTTTTTTTCTTCGGATATCAACGTAATTCTTGACAATTATCGCCTTCTACTGTGTGAACTATCCCTCTTATAGTGATCGGCCAATCTTTTGCTTTTTGAGCTTTTTGCATGGTCCAATCACACGTGATAATTGGGAAAAGTATTTTTTGGTCCTCTTCAATATTCCTTTCTTCGTTCCTCAAATGTGCCTGATATTTTTTTCATATACTTTAGGTGAGTGCATGCTGCGATAGAAGTATACGTAACATCTATATAACTTAAAGAGGTTGAAAAGAGGACACCTAGAACTTAGTAAATGATTACAGTACAGCTCCCATGAGTAATTCCAACGCCCTCGTTTCGAGTTGATCACAGACATGAAAATTATCATTACGTTAGAGCTGAAATATCATGAATAAGTTATTTCTTTCGTTTTGACTCTGTCTTTTAAGGTTACTTCCCACCTTTGCAGCTGTCCTTCGGGAAAAATTCGTACGTGCGCTAGTTTCACTAAAATCCTAGCAAACTATACATCAGAACCAAGCGTAATAACAGCAGTTTACGATAAAAATATAATTTAAGCGACTTTTCTTTAAAGGAAGTGTCAGGAGCCTGTAAGGCGTGAAACGACGGAAGGTTCTGCGGTTGAATTTATCGGGTATCGGATGCTGCAACACGAGCTAATTTGCTTCACAGTTTTACTTACAAAGCATCAATCAACAAAAGTGTGCTAGGCTTTTTCGATATTCTGATTGGTTGTCTAGATATCAGCAGCTAAAGTTAGAGTAGCTAAAAATATTCGAGGCGTGTTGCGTTAATGTACGCCACGGGACAGATATCAAAATTTCCAAACACACTCTCGTTTGTCATTATTCCTGGAATGTTTTGGCCAAATTTGACAAAAATCGGTCAAATCTATATACCCTATAAATTCGTTCTAAGTGGTTGTATTTTCCCCCCCCAAAATCAAATACGAGATTTTAACTCATAGAAGTTTACAAACAACTCGCGCCACTCAAGGAGATTATTACGACTCCTGAAACCGCAAACCAATGGGACAACGGGACCTCCTCGCGTCAATGACGATGGATCAAGATTTCTCTCGAAAAGTAACCCTTTTCAGATAAGTTTTTTCTATCTCGATCGCTCATTGGAGCGTTGAGGAGGACGACACAATAATGAGAAAAGTTGCCAACGGCAAAGGAAAAAAACCGCGGCAAAAATGAAAAACCAGAAAATGTGCTGAGAAGCAAGACAACGAATCGACAATGTTTTTGTATCAAGGCTGGTACTTGCATTAAGAAACGGAAACGTCTTTTTTAACATTATGTATGGCAAACTTTGGAATGGCGGCGACCTCTTTGGTCGAAATCTGGATGCCAACGTGGAGCTCCACCAGCACCAGTCACAAAGTTTTTTCTTTTCTCGAAAGAATGGTACTCTCTCTTTCTTCTTCGGGCCTGTTTTTTTTTGTTTGTTTTTTTTTACCCAGGATTTTCTTCCTCTTTTGATTTTTCCACGAGCAAAGATTTTTCCAGAAGGAGAGCTTCCACGTGTGAATTTTGTTAAGTGCGCAATGTAAACGAAATATGGAAATGACATGAAAAAGGAGCCCCGAGATGAGCGGTTGCCGCGAAAATTGCTCTAGGGAATTCTCCCCTATCCGTTTTTATGGCACCTTCCGGACTTATTAACCTTTTTTTATAAAAATACGTTTCTCTAAATAACTTGGGTGCTTTTTAATATTTCAGAAAAATTATTTTATGGAAACGCATCGAGGATAGATGCTCCTCACATATATCTGCAACAGAACACCTAGCCACATTCGACGACATCCTTCGCCTTAATGGTTATCCAGAGAACAGTATAGAGCAAACAAAACGCCCACAAAACCCCCCAACAAAACCCTCAACCTACCAACACAGGTCATACTTTAAGATCTCGTTCATTTCTGAACGACTCAATCACAAGATCACTAACATTTTTAGAAAAGAAAACATCCCGGTACGCATTGCCCACAAATCCTACAAGCTCAGACAAGCCCTATCCCACACCCAAGGAGCGCAAATGCACTAGAGACAAATGCCCTATCTCTAACACCGGATTGTGTTCACGACGTAATGCAGTATACCAGCTTACGTGCAACAGTTGCGATCAGTAATACATTGGTAGCACGGCACGCTTCATCCACGACCGCGTAAAAGAACATCTCAATGATGAAAACTCGTCTATGAAAAAACATATTTATTCCTGCTAGAACAAAGACTGTAAAGGTATTGATGTCAAGATTAGTACGAGCGAAAACGACCTAGCTAATCTACGCCTTTATGAAACATTTTACATTAGAAAGTGCAAGCCCACACTCAATTCCCGGGAAGAATGTAGTGAATTCGTAGAGCTTCTATTTTAGTATTTTATTTTATAGACCATTCTTTAGCGCTTTTAGAGGTCCTTTGTCTAGAGACAGTCCATCATTAGAGCCTTGTGTTCCATTCACAGTTTATTTCTATACTTTTCATACGTAAGTCACATATTTTACACATTTCACCTACACTTTCTTTGCAATATATAGCGCGCCCGGAATATTTACTCATCCCTGATGATCCCGTTGATCGGCCAAAGCTTGGATTTTATATTTTACTTTTTAACAGCAGTTTTAAGCCTCATTAGAACAGTTTTATATTTTGATTATGCTGCTGAAGGGCAACATGAACAGATTGAGTTAGGCTAATTGTTTGAATTCAGTTTAGTCGAATAAAAGAAAAATCGATTTTTTCGGCCTCTGAAGGTGGGAAGTAACCTTAACTTGCTGACAAAGGTTGGACAACTCAGTATGTGATTTGGAGACTGTGTTTTTAATAAACAATGCAGGATTCTTAGAGATGCATGGAGTTCCTTAAATACATATGATAAGCGCCGATAACTGAAAAGAAAACAGGAAAGGGAGGGATGTTGCATCAACGTCCCTGTATTTTTATTTATTTCCACCCAAATGACTTACTTGTTGTTATTTCATGTACTGACAACCGACTTCACCACCCTTAGAGTTTTGGTTTTGGGTGAGTCTAATTCAGAAGTCATTGAAAAATGCAAACAAGAATTTTTTGGAATGGCTTCAATTCACTTGACAACATTTGACACTCTTTAGGGAATTGAAGGAATTCTTGCGTGCAAATTTTGTAAACATTTGGTTGACAGCCAGGGATAAAGTCAGATGGTAGTTTTATATGCTATTGAATTGCTATTTAGTTTTTTGATTTTTTTTCTTTTAAAACGTTGTTGAAATTAGCTGTACATATGTGTATTATATTCATCCTTCAGGAATCTTTATTGCTTGGATATGGAGTATACTAGAAGGTAATTTGTACTTGAAAAATAATAGTAGGTGGTGTGGGGGTATAACCAAACAAACCAACCAATAAACAGTAACAGTCATTTAAGGTTCGTAAATACCACCTACAATCATGTGGAAATTCTTAGTTGTGTGAACACAGATGTAGCTCTGGTCCCTTGAAATTTAGTTCTGGAAATTGCACCAAATAAAATAGAATTAATGAGCCTCGCCAAGAATGCAAAATTTAAAACCTATTTTGCTATTTACTTGAACTAGCATTTTTCAGTATACCTGAATGCGGTCAGGCCATCAATACCCTCTCTGTACTTTATCACAGTTCAACCCATACTGTGATAAGTTGGGCTTGTAAAATGTAATTCGAATCTTGCCATCTCCCTTTTCCTTTGCCCCGCACATGGATGGGAGACTACGTAAGTTATCTCATTCCCCCAAGAATTACCCCTAATATTATGATATTTCATGGTCGTTAGCATCGGAAGTAGATGTCTCCAAATTGGCGACCTGTGTGCGGCAGTGATTTAGCCAGCGGTAACATTTTCATTACTTTGTGTTAATGGTTCAAAGTCAAAGCGAGATAAAAATTTGCATAGAGGAGCTACTGGAAAATTTGCCCCGCTCCATTTTTTGTTCCCACTAAATGTTGTTCGGTTGGTTACATGGTGCTGGCTGAGGTAGTTTTTCTTTTAGCTATCAGGTTGGTTCTGTGGATGGGATGCAGACTTTACCGGCAGAAGAAGTTCTTGACCTACCAACAGCTAAAGGGCTTCAGCAAGGAATTCACAAGGTACATTTATACTTCCTGTATACATAAACGGCGACAGCTTCATCAGTCACTTTTCATTAATATTAACGATTCTACATCCTGGAGGGCACCACTAGGGGATATTATGGAGTAGGCTGGCTCATGTTACACTTTAAAAAGAAGGCTGTTAAGACTGCATATGGCAACTGAGATAACACAATTTTAATAGCACTGTAAAGAACCAGAGTTTGTATGATAATGCTATAAGGTAGCTTTGCAGAAGATTTGTCTCGCATGCAAAACAGAAAACCTGCTGTATCCCACATATTTATGAGAGCCCTGTTCCACAAGAGAAAGGTGATTCAAGAATATAGTGAATAATTGACGCCCAACCACTAATTAAATGTTCACAAATAATCATACTAATAACAACAACAATAATAATGACGATGATAACAAAATTAATAGTAATGACAACTTTTAGGAGCTAGCTCAAGAACTTCAATGTTCCTCTGTCGGTCTATCCTTAGGCTCCAATAATGATTAAAATAGCCTTCTGTTAATTTTTATTTCCCTAATAAATCATCGTATAATTTCATTGCAATTCTATTTTTGTGAGACTTTTGTTTCGTACAAAAAGGCATTCCTCGTTGTGAATATTCCGCCGAATGGCGTCACCCTGTTGAACTCAACGTATCGTATTTCGGACCTTGCTCGCTTCGCAAATTTAGCAGCTTTTTGAGCATTTGTCGCTGATTGAAATGGTAAAATGATCTCTTTTCGAATGAATAAAATTTTCCTTCAAAGTTTCCACGATGTGCAGATCAAACCTATTCAGATATTTTTGCAAGGAAAAAGTTTTTTTTTTCAATTACGTGCCGGAGACACCACTGTGAAATTATTTAGGGATGTTTATTGTGGTCACCGTTAGAACTGAAAAAATTATATCTTCGGATCTACTAGGAATAATTCGCTGATTGAAACGATAAAAGGCTTTGTCTTAAAAGAGAAAATTTCTCCTCTAAATTTTCATGATGCGCCGATCACTCCTTTTATGACATCTGCGATGTAAAGCTTTCTTTTTTTTCACGCGCCATTCTGAAATGGTTGTGAGATGTTTATCGCCTTCTGTAGTACACTACGAGACAAACAATAAGTAGCACCGAAAAACAGTGTAACATTCTGTAACAATCGAAGCGATTCGTAGAAATCTTCACTAGGCGTTGAACGACCAAAGATATTCCGAAACAAACAAAAGCCAAGGGCGTGGAATATCTGGTAAACCTCGGCCGACTTCGTTGTTAGACGAAGAGGTCGTTCGTATTCTATTGTTACCCTCACTCACTGAACGAGACAACATTAAGGCTTCGCCTCCATAGGAGGCAGAAGCCATAAAAACTGGTGAGTTGTCACTCAAGTTTAACAGACTCTTGGTTTAGTTACAGTTCTGTCTATAGAGTGAATTCGTATAACTGGTTGGTTATATGCTGACGAGTTTTTTTTACTAAATTATAGCGAGAAAACAATTAGGAACAGTTGTGAACACTTGAATAACTTATGGATGCCCAAACAGGTCACAACTCACAAGAGTATTAGAAGCAAACTCATTCAGGTTATATGAATTCACTCTTTTGATTTGTTCTTTATAGAGCGAACCGTTATGTTTTCCAAGAGATAAGAATCCCCGTGGTGCTTTTATCAAAGAAACAACAAGCTTTGTGCTCAAATAGATCAATCATTCTATTTTAGCAACATTTGTCGGGTTGAACACATGCATATGTTTATCCACCAGATCGAAAGTGTCCTGCTCATGTTGGAAGAGAGGTTGACATTACTGGAAAATGAAGTTCGTAGCAACAAGGTAAATATGGAGGATAACGAGACAAATTTCACCCCGAAAGGTTACAACGGTGTAAGAGAAACACATAAGGAGAACCAGACTAAGAAAGCGAACAGAAAGAGAAGAAAGTAAACTGCATACAATCTATAGCTGGCTCGAGTATGTGTGACTACCTTAGTTAGGTTAGATTTTAACAAAATTCATATATGCTCTTTACCAGCTGACCTTGTTACTACTCAAACTGTAACTGTTCATATATTAATTATGTCGATCTCGGTTTTCTCTGTTCACCTTTATTAGAGTAATGTAAGTGTTAGTTCTAATGCAGCATGCACTCACCTATGAGGAAAAAATATCAAGCTAATGCATCAAAAAAATTTTAAAAAAATAAAGAATAGTGAAAATTTGATGAAATTAAGAAACAGCTCTTCGAGGCATAATGAAATTTCCTGTTGTTACATTGCTTGCCCTCAAAGTGTGAGGTAGTTTAGTGAATCGTGGCGTTGACTGAGAATCTTTCCGTTGTTGAACAATGACACTTATTAATTAAAAACATGTTCCGGGTTTCCACAATGGTACATGTATGATCAATCATTGCGTGGTATGGGAGGGCTATCATTAAGAAAATTAATAATGGGAGTAGATTCTATAACAGTACCAAAGGTGAGGTTTGGGACAGGAAATGTGGAGTGGATCAAAGAGGATCTTGCAAACATAATTGTGGTTCGATTAACCCTTGGAAAAAAGTTCGTGTCTCCGTGTAAGGTAACAATACCCGAGTTATTTACGATGTTTAGTGTCGATGCGTGATCATTTCTAAGTTGATTTATATTACAAAATTTTACACTAAAACTAACTGCTAAAGGACTAACCATGCACTTAGCTAGACAGAGTTGCGCTATGATTAAAAGAATTAAATGAAAGTGCAAACAGAGTTAAAAAAAAGTGATCAAAGACTAAGTGATGTCTGGACGATACTACAGAAGTGGCACATGATCAGCTTAACATGGGCTTAAGCTCCATGAGCCTTTATACTGTGCTCCTTGAAACTCTTTACTCAGGGAACCATGACATCTCTCAAAAACGCCCCTCCGTCTCCCTCAAGAATGCTGGTTCCCAGGTCACAGAAGTTCAGATCTATGGCTAGTTTGTAGCGCATTCTAACATCAGTAACAAATCCCAAGAGCCTTTTCATATTAACTGCTGCTTGAGATGTGCGTGCATTTTCACTTTTGTACCTAGAGGAAAATTTACAACTATTAGTTCCTAGAAAACCATTCTTTTAGTAAAGGAAGGAAAACCATTTTCATCCCCACCGCCGTATTTTGACTCTTACCCCCTGACTAGTGTTGCAGTTTGTCTTCTCCGATCAGACAACGTTGAATAATGTAAGGTGAGTATTAAAGCGAACTCTGGTTGAAAATTTCAAATTCGAATTTCACGAAAAGAAGCGGATTGCTTTCTTAAAAGCTGTTAGTCACTCGACAGGGTTTATGATTGTGTTACTTACTTGGTAACGACATCAACAAAAAGACTGTTGGCGAGAGGCATAGCGGAGCTCATGTCTTGAAGGTAATTGAAGTTGCCTTTCATCACTACTTGATTATAAATAGCATCAACCCACAAGGAAATGTCACGCTTTTTATACGCATCAGCGACTAGAAGAGACTGGGCACAAAAAGAGTATTCGAATTAGAAACAAAGTATCAGTAAGTTAGAGTACCAGGTGTAACTACCAACTATTCAACCAACTTGAGTTGAATGTTGGTATTATTAAATAACTCGTCATAAAAGCACAAACATCATGTGAAGATAGACGGTTACCATGAACACATGGACAATCCATGTTTAAGAGACAGGACATAAATCGTCAATCTATGGACAGCTATTAACTAAATAAATGCCAATAACTGTCATTACAAATAAAAACAATTTGCGATGCAAACACTTCTGACCTGAAAAAAATGGGTGTGATGGGCGAGGAATTTCTTTAAAGCAACATCGTTCAAATTTACTACTGTGACTCCAGAGGAAAGAAACTGGATCTGTAGGTGAACCAATCTTGCATTCTTAAGACAGGTCTGTGAATGTCGCCAGCAGTTCTCCTAATGAGTACAAGAAAGGAAACCTAGATTACCAACCTTGTTTTTTTCTGTAGAGATTAGGATTACAGGTGAGAATGGGAGAATAAACACAGGAGAATCATTCGCTAAGGTTTGGAGTCAACACGCCCATTCCTTTTTTGACTCCAGCCCCAACAACAAACGCACAGACAGGAAAAAAAGATTACTATCTCACTGATATAATGATTGTCACTGGCGTGTTACCCACTTACCTTAGCATAGTTATCCGAAGCGTAGCAGAAGGATTTCATAATGGAATTAAGTTTGACGAAAACTTCTGCAGCTCCTGGAGCATTTTAATAAAGGTCGCGAAAGCCAAATTAGTCGAGAACACAGATTTGATAATAAATACAGAATGACATAGGCATAACTTATTCTTTAAAAATTAACGGCGAAAGGGAAACGGCATAAACTTGCAAATTAGGTGACTACTGTTACGGTATTTGTTTAATGTAATGACCACAAAGCAGATCAGAATTTAAATTTTGAATAAAGTAAAGCTGGATCCAACTGCGAAAATAACTTAAAGAGTGCGGAACATTAATTTATGTTTACATATCTTTATTTTGTAGGCTGAGTTTGATTTTAGATCATCTACTTGGGTCCAAAAGACTTCACTTCAGTCTATTTAAAGCGGAGTACATGTATTCCAGTTTGAATACTTAAATTATTTTAAGCTTCACCTCCTTGATTTAACGAAAAGTAAACGTACATGCTGGCCGTCCAAATTCTTCACACTGGACTCTCCACTGCGCGCACCTTTTCAATTTCTTGTTCATTCTAGAGTGAGCATGCGCATTTATGGTTCCAGTTGTCAGCAATTGCCAGTAATTGTCGTGTCTCATTGACACATGACAATATAACAACTCTTCTTCATTGACACACGACAATATGAAAACTCTTCACATTGTCTGTTGATGAACTAAGACCGAAATGATACGAGGAGCATATATATAATTTAGTGAATCTTAAGATCAAGCCCACCTTTCTCAGCATTTCCCTGACCGTGTTTCTTACCTAGAACAAAGAAAAAGAGGGTCATAAGGGGAGCTCAAAACATACATTTTTTTCAATGGTTTAACATATAATAACCACCCGGATATTTTGTGAGTTTCATGAGTAGCAAAATTTTCTGCTCGTATTATATATTAAACCATAGAATAAAAGATTTACCATTCCACTCTTATTTCATTTTCTAGTATTTTGGCTTTATTTTTCGAAATACTTCCCGCGGCCTTATCACAGCATTGTAACGATCACATATTAGTAGCACAAAAGATGGAAACAAAACCATCAAATTGTTCTTTGCGATCCTTAAAAGAACCTGATACACATAGAAGATTGTTTCTTAGTCGACCCTAAATTAGGAAAAACTTAAAATAAAAGTTTGGATCAATGAGTGCCGCCATTTGCTAAACTATGTAATATCATTCCACATGTTGCCCGTTCCGTTGCCCTGATATGGTAAAATGGAGTAGTAGTGAAATAATTAAGTTTCTTAACGCTTAATTCCCCACATAGATATCAGGAGCTGCACTTTAATGAGAAAATTAATCATTGAGGGTGAAAAATAAGAAAGTTGCCTTCCATTTACCTACTATAGGAAGTAAAAAAAGAAGCGTAAGGTACTGAACATATGATTTTTCAATTCCAAAAAGGGAAAGAGCCTCGTCCATTGTAACATACCATGGCTTTCCCTTTGGAAGTTTGTAAAATGATGCTTTGTTTCAAATATTTGTTTTTTCGATATTTGTTACCTGGTCATCGTTTGGCAACCACATTTTGAAATGTTGCCTTTCAAACATTTGTAACGTTATCCTTATGGGGCGCAAACGTAAAACTTAGCTATTTCCTGAAAAGCAATATCCTCTTTTGACCCTTCGAAACAGTTTCCAGTGTTCTTGACGAAGCACATTTCAAACAAAATTACTTCAATAAGCCAATAACCAAGTCCACTTGACAACCAAGTATATCGTGTATCAAGGGAAAGTACCTGGGAAACAATTTCCTAAACTAGCCAGTTGTTTGACGGCGGTGTCCTCCAAAGTCTGAGCAATTTCACGGTACATGCGAAAGTGATGCGCCACCAGAGAAAACTTATCTGTATCCTCCGGATGTTGTTTTCTTAAGTAATCAAGAAGTGCAACTTTCAGCTTATTTTCCTGAAGTAAAAAACAGCAACAAACAAATATTGATGGAGCGTAATAGACATGGAAAAAAGAAACAAGAGAACATATGCAAAAGACGCCAATAAGCTATAAACCGCACTAAGAGTGTTTTAAGTCTGGTTCTAAGTCTGTTTTTTGGAAATTGATTTGTTAATTAAACGGGAATGTGATGGCTTGTGAGGCTAAAAGAGCTTTTGTCAACTGTGATTTGTCAGCTTCGATTCGTCGTGTCAGTGAAGTTCTGTGTTTATTTCAAAGGAAGAAAATCAAAGAACTTTAATTCTCTTTGGTGTTTCTACTTCTTTGGGTTTACACTTTCATCCAATTTGTAGACAAGTCTTTGGGGACGCTTACAGTGACTCAGAATAACGCAATATTTTTATTGACGTAAATTCTCGTGTAGGTAAGTGCAGTCAGTTTGAGAGAGATGGTTACAGTTGTATTATCAAGGATATTTCAAAAAGACGTGTTACCTTGTCAATTCCTTTCCGACATAGAAGTTCAAAGTGCTCATGCTCAAAGAGTGTGTCAATGATGTAAGACATCTCATTGAACCTTCCGATACCCGTGAGCAAACGAACCTATGAAAAAGGAAAACTGTCTCTACAAAGATAATTTAGTTTTATCAACTGGTTTGATAACACAAAGTGGTCATCGTAAGCTGAAGTTTCGAGAGCTAGTCTTTCGTCAGAGAAATGGCTAACGCTCGAAACATCAGCTTTGTAACTCTTTACGGTGGCCAATTTACGTTACCAACCCGGTTGATGATGCTAAATTACCCTGTTATACTCTCCCGTGGACGCAACAACACGGTTTCTTTAGAAACTTACTCCCTTTATTCATTTGTATTACAAAGAATATTCCTTCATTGGCCATACATAATCAGTGGAAGTATCAGTAGAAGTTTTAAGTACTGAAACACGTTACCATGAGCATGTAATCTCTGGATTCAGTCAAAGCAGTTGTTAGTACTCGTCCATGTCGCAGAACTGCTGCAATACCCTCCATGTTACAGGCTAAAGTGTGACATTGATGGGCGCGAACCAGTAATTCCACTTTCAAGCTCAGTGCTGTAGAAAGACAGAATT